CTTGTCTTCCCTGTGCCACAGGAGGCAAAGTCTGGGGTCAGCCTAGGAACATCAGCCTCCTTCCCTGGGGACCTCAGAATAGCTGGGCACAGGAAACGGGGTGATTCCAGGCCTCAGAGGGGGCTTGTGACCTAGAGCATTCTCTAACATCTGCTGTAGAAACTCGAGGCGATCCTGCTCGCTTGGGCTCTCAACTCTCCACTGGGAGAAACCAAGACAAAGGGGATCAGCTTTTCTGGTTCCCAGCCATTGGGATAGGTCAGGGGTGAGAAGGAACAAGACTTAAGAGGGCCACAGAGACAACTTTGGGTTCTTTCCTAATTGCCAGGCTGTAGAAAATTGTCACTGGGGAGGGTGCTGTCCCAGGCTTTTGGCCCTGGTAGGTATTCCTCCTGCAGGTGAGAGGGGGATTCTGGGAGATGAGTGCAGTCTGGGTTGTTTACCTGGAGTTGCTGCCCAGGTAGGAGTTGGCTCTCTGTCCACTTCTGTGGTGGTTCCTATGCCAGGCTGGTTTTTTTTTTTTTTTTTTGGGCCACCAACCAGCTCCCAAATCATGACAGAGAGACATACGAGTTTTGAATGCCTGGCCTAGTTAGGCTCATTTCTGGTTAGTGAAATTAACCCTTCTCTTTATCTGGCTTTTGCCTTGGGCTTTTTACTTTTCTTTCCTTCTGTATCTTAGGTTCACTGCTTCTTTAGTCTGGCTGGTGACTGCCTGTCTCTGAGCCCTGTGTCTCCTTTAGTCTCTCCTCCTTCTTCCTTTTCTCAGCCTTGATTCCTTCTCCTACTTACTCTCTCTGCCTGCCAGCTTTGCCTATTCCTCTCCTGCCTGGCTGTTGGCCATTCAGCTCTTTATTAGACCAGTCGGGTGCTTTAGGTATGCAAGGTGAAACAGATGCAACGCATCTTTCTATTATTAAACAAACGCAGCGTCAACAAAAGTAACACATCTTTGCCTGGTTAAAATAATACTTCACAAAGGTTCTCTCTTCAGGGAAGCCTGGGTGGGTCACGGATGCCCACTGAAGGGGCAAGCGAGGCCTGGGCTGTTGCCTCGGGGCTCTAATTTCAGTTCCGTTCAGAATGGAGGAAGGGAGGTGAATTTTTCATCCTCATCTCCCATGTATCTCAATGCCCGAGACGTCTGATGACAGCAGCTGGGAGTTTGACCAGGACTCCAGGCTCTGAAGATTGCTAAGGGCTGCTGGATAGCTCGGGGCTCACCAGGGGCTAGGAGAGCAGGCCTAGGAAGAAGCCCCTCCCTGCTTGGGTCACACTGGGGCTCAGACTGCCCTTAGATTCTCTTTCCAGCATCAGAAGCTTCTCTCCCATTACTTTAACATTCTTTTTTTTTGGGGGGGGCGGGATTTGAGACAAAGACAGGGTTTCTCTGTGTAACCGTGCTGGCTGGCTGTCCTGGAACTCGCTCTGTAGACCAGGCTGCGTTACCTTTCTGAGAGCCCCACTTCTCCCAGGGTCTTAGCTGGGGATCTGGTTCTTATTGGCAGGTTTTCCAGAAGCCCACAATCAACATGATCACTCTCCACAAAGACATTACCCTTCCTGAAGCTGTCCAATCCTGCGCATGCCCCTGAGATGGTGTCCGTGGTGTGCCTGCTCAATGGTGGAGGTAATTTCCCTGCGGGGGCACTGTGCGTCTCTATAGTCTGAGCAAGACAGACACCAGTTATCAGCTGACATGGTGGTCCATGGGAGGTGGGTACTGCCATGCTGGATGTGGCTACAAGCACTGACCCCTTGTTTGCCCCTCCAGACACAGATACCCGGGCCAGGCTGCTACAGGCTGCCCTGCCCCTCCCGTCTACCACTTACTATGAGAAGTTCTAGGACAAGGTGACCACAGATGAGATGGTCTGTGCTGGACCAGTGCTACCTACTGCACAGCAGAGCCTCCTGAGCTCTCCCTATACCCTCTCCCCTCTCACCCTGTAGGAAATTCAGGCAAAAGCCTAAGGCCAGGTGTTGGGCAGAGAAAGTAATGGAACTACTAAGTAGGCCTTTATAGTCCTCAGCTTTCTCCAGTTATACCTGACCAGTTTGGTCAAAGAGCCCGGGCTCCAGTTTCATCACTGACAACATTAGCGGGAGTCAAGATGGGGGCTCCATTTTCAGAGCCATCGTGTTAGAGAATTTCATCGAAGTCGATGGGAATGAGATCGCCTGAGTTACACAGTGCACAGTTTAGACAGTGGAACAGCGTAGGCTGGAGGGTTGCGGAAGATGCTCAGGTCTTCCCTTTTGCCAGTGGCTCCACGACCAGTATCACCTCCCCTCGTCAAGCCAGTTCTATTGACCTTCTGTTAAGACGGTGTTTCCCTGGATGTAGACCTGACTTCCAGGGCATAAACTCTGATAATTATCTCTGATAATTCACCCAGCAGGCAGGAGCACAGTGTCTCCTGGTGTTAGTTAGGCCTAGCCCTGGGCTTCACTGCCAAGTCCAGAGGCAAGGCCACCTGTATTGTCAGACCAAAGCCCCTTCTCTTTCTCCTGCTGCCACGCATGCCCATGTCAAAGCGTCCATGCCCTGAGTGCAGCAGATGCCAGCAGCCAACTAGCCCCCTGCCTCTGCTCCCATGAAGCCTCACTAATCCATGTAGTGTGGGCCAGTGCTGTATGCCTCCTGTTTGGGGTCTCGAAGGCTGCAGTCTGCTCCTGAACTTAAAGCTTCACTGGCTTGGATTACAATGAGAAAGGTCAGATTAGGTTGTGGAAGTTTCTGGAAGGGTCCCCCCTTGGTCCTTGTCCCCACCACTAAGACTCCATCTTCCCAAAGGGTAATAAGGAAGGACACAGGCAGATGAAATGAAGAATGTCACAGTGAGGGTAGGATCTTGGTTATGGAGTACAGGTCAGTCTGGTTTGTCCACCCTCAAGGCCTGTTGGTGTGCTCAGGGGCCCGACCTTGGGAAGAGGGTGAGGGGAACTAGGCCATTCTGACCTCATACATTTGTGGCTTTGTCACTCTTTCCCACAGTGGACTCTCCAGGCCTTCTCTTTCCCAAGTCGTGTTGAAGTCACTGACCTTATCAGACCAAGGACTCGTGATAAGGGGGAATGTGGAGGCAGACTGGGACTGGAAGGTTCAAGGAGGCCCATCAGGTGGGACTCTCCCAGCTACACACGTGGTGGCCTTGTTCTAGATGGTTCTCAAATATCAGTTTTGGTGAGTGGAGGCCCAGACAGCTGGGAAGCCCAGGTAACACCTACCTACTGTGGCCCAAATACCCACAAACAGGGAATAGAGAGGACAAGGGGACGGGGTAAGGGCTTGCTGCTCTAAGAACCCACCCCATCCTGGTGGGGTACCAGATAGCTAGGTGGGCCATTCCATACAGGGTCTCTCTACGTAGCCCTGGCTGTCCTGGAAATTGCTTTGGAGACCAGGCTGGCCTCAAACTCAAGAAATCCACCTGCCTCTACCTTAGAGTGCTTGAGAGAGGGTGTGCGCCACCACGCCTGGCTTATAGGGGTGGTTTAAGTGACCACACCCTGGCACCTCTCTCGCCTTGATTTTGTTCATTCACTCAGCCTCCCAAAAAACTCCTCCCTCTTTCAGCCCCTCCTCCGTCTCCTCGTGATTACTCAGCTCTGCCAGCAGGGGGATGTGGGCAGCCTCCTGCGGTTGTCCCAACCCTGTCCCGACACATGCAGGACCTAAGGAGCAGCATGCTCCAGGACATTCCCCTTGGGTGCACAGCTGGGGAGAGAACCCCAACTTTAGATGCCCTGAGCCTCGGCCCCCTCCCCCACAGAGGGGCTTTCTGAAAATGGTTTCTGGGCTGAGTGGAGCTAAGGATCTTGCAGGGATCAAAGATCTGAATGTCAGGGGCCTACACAGGCCTGGAATCCGCAAGTCTTTGCTCTGGCCTGCTCTGGACACATTAATGAGCAGCCCTGCCCGTGGCTGTCAAGCTGTATGGTCACCTCTATCCACTTGCTGGACCAGCCTTTCGGTATTGTCGATGGGGAGGACACTGACGCTGGCTCCTGGCCTTGGCAGGTGTCTCTGAACATGAGAGGGGAATTCTTGGCAGACATGTCCGACTGACTACTCTGGAGCTAACAGTGCTGTCCAGCTGGGACTTGTGATTTCCCCTGCTTTCTTATGGGGAGAGTCTCCCTCTTGCTGGGGAACCTGTACCATCAAGGACTGGCTGGTCACTATCATTCACTGGTGATGAATGAAACCTGCCTCGGGCAGCTGGAACCCCCTGGGAGTCAGGGAATGACGTCTCTAACTCCAGTCAACAGTGTCCAAAAGGAAGAGGCCCCGAGAGACCACAGGCTGTGGACAAGCTACTCCCATCCCCAGTGGCAAAGCAGAATGACAATCTGTCAGAGATGCCTACTGACCCAGTGGTGTCACCCACCACCCTCGTATGCATATAGAGACACTGAGACCCAGGGTAAAGGTAGTTTGCCTAAAGTCCCTCTGAGATTCAGAGGTCAAGCTGTGGCTCACTCCGGCGGCACAGGTCAGTAGGAAGAGCCATCTTAAGGCAGCCAGAGCAGCTGACCTTGGCTCTGTTCAGGGGGTATCTGGGTGCAGAGGGTAGATGAGGGAGTCGGGAAGTGGGCTTGTGTGACCGAGACAGGGCAGAGGGGGTCTTTTGGGACAGGGGCTACAGTGCCCATAGCATGCACCGTCTTCCCCAAGCGAGGCCTATTTACACATACACAGTTGCTTCCATACATCCAGGCAAAAGACTCATATACATAAAACAAAACAAACAAAAAGCCAATTCCACCAACCAGGGAGATGGTTCAGCAGTTTAGAGCTGCTCTTCTAGAGGCCCAAGATCAGTTCCCGGCTCACAACAGTCTGTGACTGCAGCTCCTAAGTCTCTGGCCTCTTCAGGCATCTGCACTCAGGAGCACACAAACGCTGGCGCGCACACACACACACAATGAAAAATTAATTTGTTTTTAAAGGTTTATTAATGTATACAGTGTTCTGCCTGTATGTATGCCTGCAGGCCAGAAGAGGGCACCAGATCTCATTACAGATGGTTGTGAGCCACCAACTGGGGATTTGAATTCACAACCTTTGGAAGAGCAGGCAGTGCTCTTAACCTGAGCCATCTCTCCAGTCCCATAAAATCAATCTTAGAAGACATCCATCAAAATCTGGACATGGTGCACAGCTTCAAACCTGTGCACCTGTAATCCCAGCACTCAAAAGCTGGAGGCTGGAGCTTAGGGCCACCGTGGGCTACCCCACCTCTCCACCCTACAAATAAATAAAAATCACAAAACCTATCAAATACCAATAGAGACAGCTAACAACAGGGCCCTGAAGAGAAGCACAGGTGGCGGTCACACAGGAAACCTGCAGTATGGCCCGCGGGCCCCTGGGGGCAGGTCATTAGCTCTTGAAGGGTGGGGCTGTGCTGTCCTACGGTCTCAGCTGGGAATCTTTGTTTTGTTGAGACAGGGTTTCTCTGTGTAACACACTAGCTGACTTGGATCTCACTCTGTAGACCAGGTTGCCCTTGAATTCAAATCGCTCTGATTAAAGAAGTGTATCAGCGCCACCCAGCCCTTAGCTGGGAGTCTTCTGGCTGGGTGGTCCCAGAGTCTGGTCCCTGTACACCTTCCTGTTAGCACAAGCAAGCCTGACTCTGTTCTACAGAATCTGAAGTTGTGCCGTCCAGGCTTCAACTCACCATGGATCCTGCCTCACATCACTAACAGGAGCTTCCAGAAAGTAAACACCACTGAAGACGGTAGGTCCCCCTCTATCCCTCTTAGGGACATCTACCCATGTACCCCAGAGGGCCAAACCAGTGACAGCTCTGCTTGAGGCCAGCCCTTGCCTAGGACAGAACCTGACACAGCCGTTGCACAGATGTTTTTAAGGACTCACAGCTGTTTTTGGTGAGCCGGGAGGGTAAGAGTCTGTGACCCCAAACCTCCCTGCCTCTGAGGCCAAGACCTCACACAAGGAGCATCAGCTGGCTCTGCCCTTTGTGTCCAATACCTGCCTTCAAGTTCTGTGGAGTGAGATCACCAACGTGAGTCTGTACAAACACGGATAGGGTGTTCTCTCCACTCCACTCAGGTCCCTGCTGAGACCTTGGGCACTCCCCAGCTCCCAGATATGCTGGCTTCCTCTACTGAACCTCAGTCCTTATCAGTGCAGACTGGGCTGCTGCCAACAAGCCTGGGAGCCTCTGCTCAGGGTGCTGGGGGCAGGGGGGTGCTGGGTGTGCCCTGATCACAGAGGGAAAATGTTAAAAGAGATGAGTTACCAATGAACTGAGACCTCAGCAATGAGTAATACAAGCTGCACCCACACCCCCAACTCCTATGTTGAGGCACACACAAGCTTTGGAAACAAGTCCTGTACCCTCTATGCAGGCTACTCCGATAGGCCCCTAGTGGGCATCGTGCTCTAAGGCGGCACCCTACTGTCTTCTGGCCTGTTAGGTCCAGGTTTGGAAGGTTCTAGAAGCTGAACCCCTCCCATCCCCGCATCCAAGTAAAATCCAAATAAAAACAGCAAGTACCTACCCTTGCCTCTCCACTTTTGCTCTCCCGGGTGACTATGGCGTAGGACGCTATGTGCCCTCAATGGGGTTCCTTGGTGGCGGATCATCTAGTACTAACCCTTCTTTATATAGAGACAGGGAAACTGAGGCCCACATTCACAATGGTCAAAGCTGAGACTACCACCAGAGTGCAAACACATGCTCTTGTCTTCTCTCTGGGCCAGAAGCTCCTGAAAGTCCAGAGAGCAGCCACCTGGGACAAGGCCTGTTCTGGGCCTTTGTCTTCTTAGCTTGAAGGCCAAGTCCTTGTTTAATTCAAGAAGAATTCAAGGGTGCCCGAGACGAGTTCTGTGAGGCTGTTCTGTGCAGTGCCTCTGCTTGTGAGCTTTCTCCTTGGGGTACAGAAGACCCAGCAAGTACCTTACTGCTCTGGGCCTCAAGCCCTGAGTCTAGAACACGTTCCACTTGGCACAAAGACACTGCCACCTTATCTACCCCAGCCCTCCTGCCTTCCCCCAGGCCCCTGGGCCCAACATTATTTTAACCCTCCCAGAATATTCTTCACCATGTCACTTTGGGGGTTCAAGGGTACGTCCACCTCCCCACAGCGAGGCGGTCTCAAGCATCTTTGCAGGCGGCTTCTCATTTTTAAGATTTTATTAAATGTAGACTATTAGTCAAATGATTTGAAAAACCAATAGCGAAAAATAGTTCTTTAGGGTTTTTTTCTTGGTGCAGAGGTGCACACCACACTGTACTTGCCTGTCACGGGGACCCCTGTGGGTAGGGGGGCATGTGCCTGGTGATCAGCAGTCCACAGTGCACTCCCATCCAGCTCCTCAGCTCCTCTGAGGAGGCATTCCATCCTGCCTTGTTATAAATATGTACAAATCCCTGGACAGTTGAGGGCACCAGGCCCAAGGCAGAGCTGGGGTTACCTGTCCCCAAACCTGCAGGATATCCACTTTTAAGACAGATGCTTGGAGAGTCAGACCACGGCTGCCCACTCCCCAGCCCCCACACCCTGCTCTGCTCTCAGGCAGCGGCCAGCTGGCCCAGGACCCGGCGGAACTGCTGTGTGCTGTGGCCCAGCTCCTTGACCCTGTCTACCATGTCCTGGGCAGCAGAGGGTGATGGATACTGCAAGGCAGCGGCCTTGGTGGTGGCCACAATGCCACGCAGGAGGTCACACAGCAGGTTGCTGTAGTGGGTCACCTGGCTCCGCACATCAGCTGCCTTTGCCTGCCGTGACAGCGTGTCCCCAATGAACACCAGCTTATGTGCGCTGAGGATGACAAACTTGCTGTGTGCCACAAAGATCTTGGGGGGCTGATTGGTGGCCACTGCAGTGAAGAAGGCGTCCACTGCATCTGTCAGTGTGGTCAGGTTGGCCTCGCACTGCTCCAAGTAGAAGAGCAGCAGCTGTCGATCCGACGGCCCCAGGCCCCCTGTCCGCCCTGGCACCAGGGGCTGGGCTGCTGTCCAGTTGGCCAGGTCATGGTCTATGGGACGAGACACCTCCTGCTCCAGTCGCTCAAACTGTTTCAGCTGTGGAAGGCAGGACAAGGTTAGGCTCTCGGCTGACAGACATGCGCAAACATCTGTACCCCTCAGGGCACTGCTCACAAGAGAGCAAACCACTGCATCAGTAACAGCATGGGTGGCGGGGAACATGCTGGGAAGTACACAGGAAAGACAGTGTGTACACCAGCTTCTTGAAACAATAGCACCCCTTGGCTATACATGTATTTCTATCTTAACTACTGTTACTGGGGAGGGGCATTTTGCCACATATCCTGGCTGGTCTCAAACTTACGATCCTTCTGCCTCTGCCTCCTGAGTGCTAGGATTACAGGAGTATGCCTGGCTTATTTTAATTACCAGTATGTATTTCTTTTCACTTTTTATGTGCTACACACTTGCTACGCAGCACATACACTACTCATCTACTGCCAACTGTAAACCCCACTTGGTATCAAGGTAACCAGTGAGTAGCCCAGCTCAGGGTGGAGTAAGCTGTCCCCTGGCTTCCTTCTTTACACCCTGAGAGGGGATAGTGAAAGAAGTTTTCATATTTACTTCATGTTATTATCTTCACAATCAAAATTCAATGACTTTAGTGTTTTTCAAATATACTTTGTTACCCAGAAAAATGACTTAAAATACGAAAACTGGCTGAACTGTTATTTACAAGGAAAACTGGATACAATGTATTCAGTCTCAAGAATGACATTCCGGGCCTATGAGAAGGGGTTGTGGACAGTGTTTAAGGCTGAGGAGAGCTGCAGACAGGCAGTGACTGCTCATCTCGACAGGCACAGGGAGCAGCTTGTGGAGCCCTTCTGGGACGCCTCTGGCTGCCAGGCTCTCTATCCTACACTCTTCTGGGCTGGTTATGATGTACCCGTGACTCTGACAGTCACTTCATGTCTGTGATGTCTCAAGCATGCCAGACAACTGCTGCGGTCCCAGCTTCTCAGGAGGCTGCAGTTGGGAAATCAGCTGAGCTGAGGCAGAGCTCAAGACAAGGCTGGGCAGCACAGCAAGACTGCTCTGTCAGATGAATTGGCCTCATGCTGGATGCTGACTCTCCCGGGGCCTCACCTGCTGCAGCTCCAGCTGGCCTTTTCCCTGCCGCATTATGTTGCCCTTTTCTAGCAGCTCCTTCTGGGTCTTCTCAAACTCCTCCTTCCCCTGAGGAAAAGACAAGACATGGACTGAGAAGTGTCTTCTGGGACAGAAGCACCAGCAGCTCCCATGGGTGCAAGGGCCTGGGAACCACCAGGTGGCAGTGTAGGTACACCAGGCCCAGGAAGACATAGCTCCTTAAAAGCTACAGAGAAACCCTGTCTCGAAAAAATCCAAAACAAAACAAAACACCAGGCCCCTATCAGAGGGGGCTTGGCCCAGAGGGGAGCCTTGCAGAGGGGGCATTCACTCCACATGGCCATGGCCCTCTTGTAATGGCTCTCATGCCAAGAATGAAATCCAAATGAAATAGACTCACTCCCCTCCCATCTCCCCATCCCCTTGTCCTAAGTCCTCTGCCACCAGCATCTGCCTCCCCAGATCGTCTCTACAAAGAATGGAGCCATATCCATGCCCACTAGGGAAGCCCATCTCCAAGCCCCAAGGACACAGTGAAGTTGACCATCAATCAATCTAATAGGACAAAATACAGGGAGGACACTAGGAAACACCAGCAACCATTCTTGGAACCTGAATCTCCTTTGACCACAAGATCTGTGTGGGATGAGAGGGCAAGGGGGACATCAGGGTCCCTGCAACAACAGTGGCAGGGTCAGAGTCTTGGGCCTGAGCAGGGTGAGCACCCACCTGCAGGTGGACATAGTCATAATCCTCCATCCAGCCCCCTTCACTGTTCTCATACTGCCCATCTGGAGAGTCCTGGGAGGTGAACTTAGGGGGTGAAGGAAGAGGGCGTGACTGGATGCTGCTGGCTTTATCAGTGGGGTTGGGGTGCAGGGAGCTGCCTCCCTCAGGCCCTGGGCCAGGGGCTTTGGTCCGTCTGAAGAGCAGCGAGGCATTGCCATGCAAAAAGGAGGCTAGCTGCTTGGCATCCTCGGGCACGGCCCGTGAGCAGGCCACCAGGCGGTCCAGGTCTTCAAGGGTGAATCCTGGGCTTCCCCGGCCACTGTCAAGCACCTGACCATGGACCACCAGCGTCTGGTACACATCCTCCATCTTCTGTAGCTGCCGGCTAAGCTTGGCATGCAAGGTGCGGTCAGAAGTGTGAGTGGCATTGCTTACAGCACTGCGGGCAAATTCCAGGAGCTCATGTACTGCCCCATGAACTGCAGCCACTGCGGCTTTCAGGTCCTGCACGGGAGGTTCCTGAGGCTCAGAGGTGCTACGCCAGCCCCCAGGCCCATTGGCACTGCCCACCAGGTCCAGAAGGTGGGCTACGGTGGTGCTCACACCTTGCTGCAGGCGAGCCAGGGACTCCACAGCAACCTCCAGCTCCAGGGGCTCTCGGCCTGGCACCATTACCTCCAAGGAAGATGCCGATTGGCTGCTGCGTGTGCTGCCTGTGCTAGAGGCCGACAGACGCTTGCCATCTGCTGGGGCCTCTCGTTCCGTTGGTGGGGGCACAGCATACACCCCATCATCAATTACACTCCCATCAGCCACCTCAGAAGGGAGCACCCGCTCACGAGGTACATCGTATAATGTTCCAGGGCCAGGCCGCCTCAAACCAGGCGGCACATCATAGAGGTCAGGAGCAGGGGGTGGCACATCATACACATCCTCAGCTGGTGGGGAGTCTGGAGGAGGTGCAGCGAGGATCAGCGGGTGCCGAGTTGGGTCAAAGGGCTTGGGCTTGGCGAAGGCAGGAGGTACATCGTATGTCTCCTCTCGCAGTGGCCCATCGGGCACATCCTTGCTCACGGAAGGAGGAACATCATACACCTAGGGTATAAGTGGTGGTTAAAGCTTTTGTCTGGATTATCTGACCCATCCTGGAGCTCAAGGCAGGACCCAGCTGGTGTACACACCCAGCATGATTCTCAACTGTGATGACTATGCCAAGAGCCTAGCCCCGGGGCTAGCTGACTCATTCTCTGTGCCTGGCTAGTCATCTATAGGATGGGGAACTGTTGAGCAATATATTTTTCAGGTGTGTGACTTTAGTTTAACTCTGTGAAGCTGTGTTACTGTGCCTGTCTAAAACACCTGATGGTCCTAATAAAGAGATGACAGCCAATAACGAGACGGAGAAAGGACAGGCGTGGCTGGCAGACAAAGTATAAGTAGAAGGAGAAACAAGGCAGGGGAGGTCATCAGGGGCCAGCCACCTAGCTACACAGCAAACCACAGAGAAGAAGTAAGGAAAGGTATACAGAAATAGAGAAAGATAAAAGCCCAGAGGCAAAAGGTGGTCAGGATAGCATAAGAAAAGCTGGCAAAAAACAAGCCAAGCTCAGAGTCCTGTTTAGAAGAGGGATTTTGTGGTCTCCTTGCTGATACATCTCAGAGCATGCATAATGAGAGGACCTGGCAATGGGCCATTTTCTGAGGCTCAGAAGGGCATTTAGTTTCTTTTTAAAATTAATTTATTTACTTTTTTTATGTGTATGGGTATTTTGTCTGCATAAATGTCTGTGCACCACATGCATGCTTTGTGCCAAGAGGTCAGAAAGAGATGCTGAGTCACCTGGGACTGCCAAACACTGTACGGATGCTAAGAATGGACCCTGGGTCCTCAGGAAGAAGAGCCAATGCCTTAACCTCAGAACCATCTCTACAGCCTGGGCATTCAGTTTCTATATCTGTCCCCAGAGCAAGTAATGACAGAGCCAGGGTCTGCAGAGAGAAGTCCCAAACCTAATGCACACACTCGTCCATGCCTTTCAACACCTTTAGAAGCCTCCAAGACCCCAGCATCTGCGGACTCCTTACCGAATGATGACTGGATGGTGGCAGGCTTTTCTCCACACTCGGAGGCACATCATACACATCCAACAATGGGTCTCTGCCATTGGGGCCCTTTACTGCCATGGGAGGTGTGTCATATACCTGGAGGGCACAAAAGAAGGTGCAATGATACAACTGTCAGGGATATCTGGTTTAATGGGAAGAGTGCAAGTCCCCAGAAACCTACCTTGAGCACTTGGGCTACCCTAGTTGGCTGAGAAAATGCAGTACCCACAGCAAGGCTCAGGTCCTGTCTCTCCCATGCCTCTGATCCCCAGCACTTACCTCCTGGCCATACTGGCTGGGAAGCAGTCCTCGAACAGGAGGCACATCATAGATGTCCTGAGGACCTGGAGCTAGCAGGTGGCGTGGGGTGTCATACTCGTCCTGCTCTGTCTGGGAAGCCTCATATACGTAGCCCTGTCCCACTCGAGTAGGTACCACCACCTAGGAACAAACAGCTGATTATACCACTGGCCCCTGATCCACCCTCAGGTCCACAGGAGACTACCCTGAGAGACAGGCAAGACACACAAAGGTAGCGATGGGGCTCTGTAAGGGTGGGCTTGGAACCATTGCTTCTCATTCTCTATGTACCCCCTTTGGGAGTGAAATACAATGCTTGGGAGAGAATTACCAGACCCCTAGAGGTTTTGTTTAGAGCTGTCTGGTTCTGGGCCTTGAAAAAAAGACAGCTGACTCGAAAAACCAAAAAAAAAAGAAGAAAAAAGACAGCTGAATGACCCAGTCGATTCCAGAGTAGGGTGTGTGTATGGTTACACACAGATGACAAGAAGGGACAGGAAGAGTAAAAGGCCTGGCTCCAGAGGCAATGCCAGTGAGCAAGGGGCCAGCCTGCACTGGAGTCCTGGGCACCACAAGACCAGAGGCCCCATGTTAGGTCTCCTGTGTTGTTCCTGTGGACACCTCTGAGCACCCCTGCCCCACAAAGTTCTGCTCAGCAAGAGAGAGACCTGATCGTAGGATCCCCATCATTCCAGGCTCTGGAGGCAGAGAATGGAGCCTGGAAAGGCAGCAGGCATCCTCCCTGAGTAGGACTAGGTAACTTGGTCTGACTACTGAGCTAACTCTTGAGCAGACACACGGGGCTAGGATGTAAGGTCAGCTCCAGGGCAAAGGAATTCTAACTGGAACCACTCAACCTCACCCATAAGCTGCCTTGCCCACCTGAAAGGGTAAGGCCTTAGTGGGAGTCACAGGTCAGAGGCAGCCGGCCCTCTTTCCCAGGGCTCTGACCATGCATTCACGGCAGTGGCCACAGCAGCAAAGCTATGGCTCTGTATCAAGGGTAGGCGGGGCCGGGGGAGACTCTGGGATGCTTGTGCACCACCCCCAGGGCCATGCTGTCCCCTCACAGCCGCTCACAGCCTGGAGGGATGGGAGTGTCCACACAGCCTCCCCTCTAAGATTCTCCAGCCAGGCTCAGGGTAACCTCCCCCATGGGGCTCCCTGTTCAGTCTTCTTCACAGAAAGGCCTTTTGTTTTCTAATCAAAGGGGATGTCTGGGACAGGGTTGAGGCACGGCCTCCACACACATAGCTTGCTTCCTTCAGGCTCAACACTCTAAAACCCAAGCTTCAGCAGGCACAAACCAGCATTACCCCTAACCCCCCTGCAGGACATAGGGACACCCAGCAGACCAGACTTGACAACCTCCCAGGCAGGATATTTGAGCAGTTGATGTTTAATACAGCTGGGCTTCTGGGCTGCCTCTAGCAGTCAGCCTGGCAGGCTGGTGTGTGCCACTGTAGGGGCTGTGGAGGTCTCCTCTGTGGGGTGTCTCCACCCACCAATAACAGGGCCGGGGGGGGGGGGGGGAGTTGTAGCTGCCTCTCACACTCATCTCCCTGCTCAGGCCCCAGACTTGAGTCTCCTCCAGGGCTATTTTTAGATGTTGGAACCTGCCCATGGCAGCAGACCGGGGCTGGAAGGATGTGGCAGGTTAGACAGGCCTGTAGCAAGGCCTGAGGCTTCTCCAGGCCAAGGCCTCCCAGGTGGGAATTCAAATCCAAAAGGGGCAGACAATACACCCTAAAGACAGAGGCAGGCCAGGTCTCAGTACAGAGAGCATATCCACCTTGTCAGCACCCACCAGGACCTCATGTAGACAGAGCTGTAAGGATTAAGGGTAGGACAATTCCTATTCCTACACCTGAGTCAGGTTGACAGTAAGCAGCCATATTGGCTAGCGAATGTTCTTCTGTTAGGAAAACATAATAGAGAAAGCAGGGAAAAGAAGCTCATTAGGGAAACAGTCTCATCAGAGCTGCAGAGCTGAACAGTTAATCACAGCTAACTGCTCTGCACCTGATGCCCCATTAGCAGGCCCTGGAGGGAGAGGGAGGGACAGACACACATCCAGGCTGGGCTGCAGAGGGCTGTTGTTTTCTCTCTGTCCCATATCTCAGCACAGGTTTCAAGGAAAAGGGAGACTGATCCCAGAAGCACACCCCAGTCCTAGATGGGGATGAAACCTCTGCAGTGGCTCTGGCTCTACAGGGACCAAGGCAGGAATCCAAGCAGCAGGAGTCAAGTAGGAGGAACAAAGACAAGAGGAGTCTCTCTTGGCTGTTCATTCTGTTGGGGCCCCACCTCTCCAGACAGTTTGGCTGCTGATCTTCCCCCCTGCAAAATGGACAACATCCCACCAGCCTAGGCCAGCTGCTGGTTTGGATGCTCACAATTTAGCCCTCCTCCCATAGAGAAGTTGTTTTCCTTTTTTGGAATGGAGGACCACAGGAATACCATGGGGCCAGACAGGTGCCTACTTTACTGAGCACACCATCCCCTTTTGCTGGCCCAGGAGTGCTGCTTCCCAGACAAATACGACTTAGCTCACATGAGTTCCCCACCCCTGGCAAGCTGTAATTCCTGACCCAGGAATTTCCCTTCAAAAGTGGCCTTGCCAGGCGGATCTCTGTGAGTTCAAGGCCAGCCTGGTCTACAAGAGCTAGTTCCAGCAGGACAGGCACCAAAGCTACAGAAAAAAAAAAAAAGGTGGCCTTGCTGGCCTTGCACAGACAAATGCCTTCCCTGCTGGGGTCCTACCTGCATGTTTACAATCTCTGCGTCCATGCCTAACCAGAGGACCCTGGATACTCTTGACCTTACTTTCTCCAGCCACACAGCAGATAGCCATGTTCCAGGGGTCTACACTCTGCTGGCCCCATCCTTATCACTTACTCCCACAGATACCACAAACTATGGCACTACCTCCTCAGTCCTGCAATAAGGACAGACACCACAGGAGGAGTCCCAGAGGCCTCTGAAAGCAAGACCTGGAAAGTAGGCACAAATGTGCACCCTAGGAGTTTCCCACCATGTTCTTTGTAATAAAATCAAATCACATGGTATACACAGACAGACATATAAACTAAAAAATATATTTTAAAAGTGTGGGAATGGGGGCCCTGGAAAGCTGGTTCAGAGGTTAAAAGTGCTGGCTGCTCTTGCAGAAGACCCAAGTTTGTTCCCAGCACCGTACCAGGCAGCTCACAATTCCTGCAACTTCAGTTTTCTTCCAGCCTCTATAGGCACCCAAACACATGGCATACACTCACTCAAAAACAGGCAGACAGACAGACAGACAGACAGAAAATAAAAATCTTCAGGTGAGGCTACAACACAACAGCAGAACTCGGGTAGCTACCCCTATCAGTCTTGGAAGATTTAATAACTAAGAAAATGCTTTTGGTATGTTGTGATGGATTTACAACTTTGAAATGCAAAAATAACAAGCATATAATCACAGACATAAGAGGCTGAAGCAGGAGGGTTGTGGGTCCAAGGCCAGTGGAGGATATAGGATACAACGAGATCCAAGTCAACCTGAAGACAGACTAAGTTTGCCTTTAAAAAAAAGAAAAGTACATATACAGATCTGTAAAAGACAAATAGAGAAGACACTAGACAAAATACACCAACATTTCTTAGGGATTATCCCTTGACTGAGGGATCTCTAGACTTTCTCATACATTATGCATTTTCTATGGCAAACAAGCATTTCTTTCATGTTAAAAATATAAGCAGAGGGGCTGGAGAGATGGCTCAGAGGTTAAGAGCATTGCCTGCTCTTCCAAAGGTCCTGAGTTCAATTCCCAGCAACCACATGGTGGCTCACAACCATCTGTAACGAGGTCTGGTGCCCTCTTCTGGCCTGCAGGAATATACACAGACAGAATATTATATACATAATAAAGAAATAAATATTTTAAAAAAAATATATAAGCAGAGGCAATGACCGCCCAGCTCAGGAATGACAAAGCCTCTTAGGAATGGGCACAGGGCTTCTCTTCCTAGGCTATCAGTTAGGTCAGAGAATTGGGAACACTGGACAGCTCCACCAAAGGCTGGGTGGGCAGAAAAGGACAGAGCAGTGAGGCTCTAGGTGAGTGAGGGAAGGCCCATTGGTTAGCCCCTTTGGGCTTCCTCCTCCAGCCTAGGTGAACAGTTGTCCCAAGACAAGAGATGAAGAACTGACTAAGGGGCAAGTATGACTTGTGTGCATGTACATTTGTATGTGTTCTAAGTGCATGTGGAGGGGATGGACCTTGGCCTGTTTCAAGGCTCTCTAAACAGGTACTATTGCCATCTCTCCACAGGATAGCCACCCACGACGCACCCACCCACATACAAGCTGGTGGCAAGGCCTTAATGGTAGGCTTCCATTATCTGACTAAAAGATGCAGGTAGTGCAAGAAGTGGAGTCCGGTGACTCAGGGATCCCTGGTGGTCAAACTGTGGGCCAATGTTCATGAAATCTCATCTTATGCAACTCCTGGTCAGGCATCCTGAATGCCAAGCTTCTCTGTGGGCAGTGGTGGGGTGACATTACCTGCTTTCTAGGTGGCACCAATTAGGTTCTTGGCACTAGGGAGCTTTGAAGACAAAGGCTCAGTGCCACGGCTGAGCATGAACCTGGCCAATGTCTCTCCAGGCATAAATGGTGCTCGACCAGACATGATCAGACTGACTGTGAAACTGACTTAGCTGGGCTTATGCTGTTCGTGTTATCTCTCTCTTTCTTGGTTTTTTTCAAGACAGGGTTTCTCTGTGTATCCCTGGCTATCCTAGAATTCAATCTGTAGACCAGGCTGGCCTGGAACTCAGAGATCCGTCTGCCTCCGCCTCCTGAGTGCTGGGATTAAAGGCGTGCGCCGCCGCCCCCACCACCTGGTTTATGCTGTTCTCTTAAATGCTGCTGTGCCCACCACAGTTGGCTGTTTCCACCAGGGCCTCTGGTGCCCCTGCCTAGCTATTATGGACTTCTAGTGCATGGTAGATGAAGGCATGAGGAAGATGCGGGGTGCTGGTCATGGAAACTCTATCTTCAACAAATTCCATTCCCTAGTTTTGTTGTTGTTGTTGCTTTGTTTTGTTTTTCAAGACAGGGTCTCATTATGTAGCTCTCTGGCGATCCTGGAACTCACTGTATAGACCAGGCTAGCCTCAAACTCAGGCACCCCCCCTCCTGCAGGGTGTGATTAAAGGTGTGCACCACTAAATTTGGTTCCATTTCCCAGTTCTTAAAGGACTTTGGCATAGAAAAACAGGCTAAAATGAATGCAAGGAAAAGTGGCTCCTGATTTAGTGTGAAGCCAGGGGGCTTCTCCTCCTTCAGCCCTGCCTATTTCATGGGCAGGGGCCAGAAGGCAGTATGGAGGAACTGAGGGCCCAGACACATCCTAGAGATGGAATGTCTGTGGAGCCAAGGACAACTAAAGGTGCTAGGTCTCAACCAAGAGAATGACTCGTGAAGGACTGAGCACAGGCAGCTTCCGTACCCACAGGGGCCCAGAAGGCCACAGGTGCCAGTGGACTGAAGAGTTCTTCAGGAGCTCAGTTCCTTCTTCCCTAGGGAAATCCCGTTAAGGGCCACACTCAGATACCTGATAAGGCCCACAGCCTGGCCTCCCAGGCAGCTGGGTGGGCAAAGGTCAACAATCAACATAAGTAACCTCCAAGAAAGCTCCCGAGGAAATGTGTTGTCTCTATTGTCCCCTCCCTGTCTTCCTGTTGGCCAAAGCGCAGACCCAATGGCTGGATCTCAAGTAGACCCACGTCAGTCCTGGCGTGTTGGCCTCTAGATGCAACTTCTAAGAGGAAACATGCAGCTCTTCTCATTGTCCCTGTGTTGTCACCCTAAGTCCCACAACCTCACTGTCCTGGCCCACAGGCTTTATGCTCTGCTGTACCTTCTACCTGGGCCAGAATACACTGACACGAGCTGGGCAGGGTCAGCCTGAGTATCAGGCCCCAAGACTGTCCCTGGCCTACTGCTCACTTGGAACACGGGGCACTTCTCCACACCTCTAGACCTGCACAGGCTGTAACCTGTGGTTAACATTCTCCATTTCAGGGCAGCCTACTGTAGACTTCCTCATCCTTCATGGCCAGCTCAATGTCCCTTATTCAGATAAGTAAATGTATACATTGATCCAGTTACCTCCCTCCTTGACTTCACACCAAACACAATGACAATGGAGTGTGGGTACTCTGTGGTGACCAGGCCCTACTAGGCCCAGAAACCAGGGCCTAGGCTAACCCAATGGGGCTTCACAGCTGTGTCAAATTGGCCTTACCTTTGCCGGGGGCTTCGTTCCCTCCCAGCTGCGGTTGTCCATAGATGGAGGGACTTGGTAGATATCATGCCCTATGCCAGCAGAAGGTGGCACCTGGTAGATGTCCTGGGCTGGACTTCCAGGCCCTGGAGGCACCTGGTAAAGGTCTGTGGCTGGGCTGGGAAATGAGTGGTGAGGTGTCTGCTTTGAGAATGTGGATGTCTGTTTGGCTGGGGGTGACTGGAACTGTGGGTTGGGCCCAGGGGCTTGGTAGAGACTTTGCTGAGTCTTGCTGGGAGTGGGTACCAGGTACACACTGTCAGGCTGGGGCTGGTATGCAGTGGGGAGCATGGGACTGTACTGGGAAGCTGGGGGTACTGGGGTATGGACACCCTGAGGGAGGTTGGGCTGCGGCTGGGGTGGAGTGGCAGGTGGGCCTGGTCCAGGCCCTGCTGGCTTCTTGTCATACATGCCGACCAGGATCTTGAGGCGGTTACCAGGGACAATGCCCTGGCGTCCATGCAGTGAGCAGAGCCACCAGCCATCCAGGCCCTGTGTGTCCCGCTCCAGCACCGTCATGATGTCACCCTTTCGGAAGGAGAGCTCATCCGGGGATTCAGCTACGTTGTCATAGAGGGCCTTGGCCAGCACATTCTGGGGAGAGAAGACATAGGTGGACATGAGACAGGAGGATAGGCACAGGCCTCACCCAGCTCCCACCATTACAGAATCAGTAAGCACCCAGCTTTAACTTTCAAAGAGAAACAACAGGGGCCTTACCCTCACCGTCTCTATCGGCCTCCCAGCAGCAAAGCAGAGCTGACCACAGGGTATCTTTAGCTAAGCTAGGGCCCCTCAGATCCTCAACGGCAGCAGCTGCTATCAGCTGCCACCAACACTTCAGAGATGGCTCCCAGTATGTGATTAAAAACCATTCCTGGGTCTGGAAAGATGGCTTAGCAGTTAAAGGGAGTTTCCTGCTACTGCAGAGGAGCTGGAACTGGTTTCCAGCACTGATACTGGGTGGCTCACAACCCAGATTCAGGGATCCAAAGCTCTCTTCTAGATTCTGCAGGTACCTGTACTCACTTGTACATGTATGCAGACACAGACATACCACACATATAATCAAAAATAATAAAATCTTTTAAAAGTTCCTGAAGTCATGTGCACAGTTTCTTAAGATAAAAACACTGGGGGGGGGGGGGGAGTCAGTAATTAGCAGAGAAACTTAAGAACTGCCCTTAAGCTGAGAAGAAAGTAAGACATCTCCCCACTTTAGCTCTAAGGTTCAGATCCTTGGGTTTTGTGTCCAGGGGCACTGCAACTCTCCAAGACGGAGAGGATGATGGGGTGAGGGAGGATGGTGCACGTGATGGGGAGGAAACGGCCATCCTCCGCAGACCCCATGATCATCTTTGAAAAGGTGTTCCAAGAAGAATCATCAACTGATGAAAATGGCACAGCAAAGACAGAAGAGAAATCTCTGCGAACTCTCCACACACACCTTGTACAAGGCTGGAGAGGACAAAATGCTTTTACTCAAGTAAAAGTTGAGCAGAAGGAGAAACGTGCCAAGTTCCTGGTGGGATGACCTTAACCCTGTCCAGTGTTCATTTGCCCACTCTTTCTTAGTACCGCAGCCTGCCCATCACCCATGGTTTCACTTTCTGTGGTTTTAGTTACTTACCTATGGTCAACCATGGCCCAAAAATATTAAATGAAAAATTCCAGAAATAAACTGGCTGGGCGGTGGTGGCGCACGCCTTTAATCCCAGCACTCGGGAGGCAGAGGCAGGTGGATCTCTGTGAGTCTGAGGCCAACCTGGTCTACAGAGTGAGTGCCAGGACAACTAGGGATACATGGTGAGACCCTATCTCAGGAAAAAATAAATAAATAAAAATAAAAACAAAAAACTTAGTGTAGATAAATATGTATTGGAAAATAGAGTACACAGAGGGTTTAATACTAATTGGGGCGTTCTTTGGGGGTCTTGAAATGCACCTCACAGACCGAGGGGAAAATAACGCGAACATGAACTCCATATAATTTAACTGCATCATCATAATTCATCATGATCAAAGTGTCATAGGGCTTGTTTTTAAAAAAAGGAATTCTTTTACAATAAAATGGAGGCATAGAGGTCAATAAATAAACAAGTCACTACTAAAAGGCACAGGCACGCTTTTCCATATATGAGAGCAATTCTAGGACAGGGATGGGACAGGACAAGGCTGGGAACAACGGGAAAAGGCTAAGGTAGGGGAAGGTGGGAAACTCACTGTAAGAAGGCAGCCATGGACACTGGCCTTGGCATTACAGACTACCACTCAGAACTCAAATACAAAAGGTCTCATGCTAGGACAAGTAAAGTTAATAGGAATCTGGAGTTCATACAATCAAAAAGGACAGGACACTGGGCAGTGGTGGTGCACTGGGTAGGCAGAGGCTGATGAATCTCTGGGTAAGGCCAGTCTGGTCTACAGAGAAAGATCCAGGACGGTCAGTGTTACACAGAGAAACCCTATCTGGGGAACCTCCCATCCACCCCCCAAAAAAGGGGGACAAGAATAGAAAGCCTACAACATATAAAAAGGTCACCCAAAGGAAATCAAATGGTCAAGACCTGCTGATGAATGCTCAGAGTTATAGTAGAAAGAAACACAGAGGGATCATGTCACACGGTCCTTCAGGTGTCCTGGTATTTAAGGAAGTGGTGTGGGCAGAAGTATTCGCAGGCTTTACTGATCTTAGGAGTATTCAGCACCAGGGTGCTTGCCTATGACCCATGGGGCCTACCTATATTGACCATGGAGCAATGAGAAGGTAAAGGTGAGGTGAGCCAGCCCTGCCCTCCTGAGTTAGAGTAAGAAACAAATGTGCTGATGTTCAAACTTTAAAGCTATAAGCACCTACAAAACAATACCCACCATATGTCAAAGACAATTATTCAGGGATATTACCTAATGTCTCTTAATTAGAAGGTATCTAATATGCTAGGCATATTACTAATGTGGGTGCTTCTGGGGCTTGAGGGAGAAGCAACAGGGAAAACAGGAGCATTAAGCAAAGGGAGAGAGCAGCATTTCCCACTTTTACTGCTCCAGCTACTACAAGAAATGAGTACTACTATGTCCTTCTATATCACAGACACTCCCAGAACAGGAATCATGAGGCCCAGAAGCCAAGAAGCCTGTGCTGGAGCCATGTGACTCCCAGCAGGGTAACAGTACAGGAAAAAGAGAAGAAGGCACAAGAACACTGTGGTGGTAGGGGGCACTGGAGAGAGGGCAAAGGTCCTGAGTTCAATTCCCAGCAACCACATGGTGGCTCACAAGCACCCTTGATGAAATCTAGTGCCCTCTTTTGGCACACTGTATACATAATAAATAAATCGGAGGAGGAGGAGGAGGAGGAGGAGGAGGAGGAGGAGGAGGAGGAGGAGGAGGAGGAGGAGAAGAAGAAGAAGAAGAAGAAGAAGAAGAAGAAGAAGAAGAAGCCGCCGCCGCCACCGCCCACTGGGGTGGCTTCAAGACAGTCACTATACTTTAAGCAGTTCTGTCACTGCCTCCTTGCCCAGGAGCCAGGGAGGAGTCTGGGCTAGGTGTGGCTGGGACATCTTTTGAACAGAAGAAGCAGAAGACTGCGTGCCTCAGCAGGGCTGGTGGCAGAGGCTGATTGAGACCCCACTGGGCACTCAAGAAGGTCAGATGCACCCTTCTGACCTTCAACTGAACATCAGTTCTGGGTGACTGCAGACCTAGAAGTCTTAAGAGGAACATCATAAGTCACAAGAAAGATCTAGACTTGGAAATAGGACCTGGGCTCTGGCTACTGGCTGTGCAGCCCTGCCTACTTAGACCCACCATCATCCTCTGGCCAGGTGGTGGCACACACATGCAGTCCTACCACTTGAGAGGAAGAAGCAGAGAATCAGGAGTTCGAGGCCTGGGCTAGTGAAACCCTATCTCAGGAAACCAAAGCTAAATCAACTAAACAACAAAAAACATTCCCACCCTCTGGACCTCACCTCCTCATGGAATCAATTAAGAGCTGGAATTCAGGTGGCAGGAAGGGACATGCCCCTAGGGACATAAATCCAGAGTGGGATCCCAGGCTCTGAGGAGAGGAGTCCCAGGGGGCTACCTCTGATTTGTCTCTCAGGCCTGCCACACTTAGAGGACACTTAGAGGTATGAAGCATGCCCCAGGAGTCACCAGCTGGCATCTGCTTTTCCAGGACAGCTTGAAGGATCCATCCCCAGAAAAAACAGGGGCAAGGAAGCTAGGAACCAAAAGAAGCAAGCCCCAGGGAAAGGCTGAACAGGCAAGCAGTCTAAGGAGGGCACAGCCCCTGAAACTGGCACAATTCCTGAACTCTGTCCGCACCAGTCCAGATTTAAAGTGCACCGAGTACACCAACACTTCAGCGTTCAGGAGGAGGAGGCAGGACTCTGAGTCTTAGGTTATTTTGATCTACAGTGATAAACCCATCCCCTCCAAAAACTCCTCCACAATAAATCATTTGAAATTTTAAAATGAGGTATCAATGTCTCTAAAAATACTCAGGACAATAGGGATATTCTCTCATTTACAGAATTTTCAACTTGTATTTAATACGTTATTCTTATTTTGAAGTTGAAAAAAACTGAAGGGAATCAACCAAGTCTAAATATGTATGAAGACATCATTTAAAAAAATACCCTGTTACTCTGAATGTTAGGTTTTTGTTTTTTAGGAAATGGGGGGGACCTTATCTAGGAAAAGAAAATAGTGGGTCACATGCCAGGCTCTGGATCAGGGTGGGACAGAGGCAGGCAGACAATTATAGTGGGTCCGTCCAGAGGCCAGAGTCCTTAGAGAATCAGGCCAGGGTAGAAACTACCTTACAGCCCACCAGGCTCACAGTCCCTACCCCCAAGCTGCAAACAAGAGAAGCCAATTTCCCAAATATGGTCTGCAGCCTGCCTCCGGGAATCACCAGGCCCACCCTCCCTCGGTGACCCCAGAACATCAAGCCGCCTGGCTGGGTCCCCTAGCCCCTGCCCTGGTGACCACAGGAAGTGCCAGCAGAATGAGTCACAGGGAAATTCCCTCCAGCCCGTTAAAGGCGGTGGAAGTGCAGACAGAAGGGCCTGCTCCTGAGTCCCTCACCTCCAAGACTGCTGTGCAGGGAAGGCTGAGAGAGGCCGCAATGGGCCGGTCTGGGGACGCCAGGATAGAGCACAGACATGAAGGCTAGAAGGGTCTGTTGAAGGAAGGTTCAGTGAACAAATCAAGACAGAGACGAACTGCCCAGACCAGGTGAGTCATTTGGGACTTCTGGCCTCCCAGAGGTGCTAGCTCTACCTAAAGTACACACTCACTGAGTGCCTGCCAAGTACGCCTTGGCCAAGTAGGGCTGTAACTGTATAGTCAAGGGCAGCTGGAGCCAGGCTGGGAAACACCTCATGGACTGGGCACGTGGCATCAAGAGCCTGGCACCAGGAGTTCCTTTGCCTGTGTCAGCTGGTGTGCTCTGGCCCAGAGCCCCTGCAGCAGCTTCTCTCCTGCCCAACCCAAGTCCTAAGCACTGCCAGTGCCTGACCTATCGACTTTTTCAGCTGGCCAAGCAAAGGCCCTTCCAGCCTCTCTGCCTCCCTAGTTATTACTCA